ATTAATTTGTATGCTAGGTAATATATAAATATATATAATTTGAAATAATATTTTCTTTGTTGTGTATGAAATAAATAATTTATATGACTCTGAGTGTGTGTGTGTCTGTGTGGGTGTATGCAGCGCCATCTAGTGTCCGATGTGCTTCTTGATCAGCGCCTGCAGCAGACGCACCTTCGCCTTCTTCTCCTTGTATTGCGCATAGGTCTCCGTTTCGAGACTCTTTCGGTCCGGCTTCAGCATTTTGCGTCCATTCTGCTCCTCGAATATGGACTCGTATTCCCTAATGGTCGCCTTCAGCACCATCTTCTCGTTGCGCACACGTTCTAGCTGCTCCCACAGCTGGTCCACGCTGAGCGCCGCGATATTCTCCGCCTGTGCCGAGTCTGTGGCGGTTGTTGTGGTTGTTGTTGTCGTTGTGGTCGACTCATCGGAGGAAGCATTCTGTGTTTGGTTATTTGGCGCCATGGAGTCGCTGGGTGAGTTCGTCGTCTCAGTACTGTTATTCGATGAATACTGCAGCGGTGTCGATGTTGCCTCAAAGACCATAGCCTCATGCTCCAAAATCGTGGGCAGCTCATTCACTCCGGCGCCGCCGCCGAACATAATATGACGGGAGACCAGACGCTTCAGCTGCCTATAGCGATCGTAGAGTGGGCGTGCCGCATCTCGCTCTTCCTTGGTTATGGGATGGCCATAGAGACTCTCGAAGTACAGCAGGCCATGCTGAACGGCGCTCTTCTCCTGCACCAGCTGATCCGAGGTCAGCTCCTCCAGCTGCTGTGGCCGATGATTCTGCGTACGCTTCTCGCTGAGATTCTGCAAAGGAATTGAGGCTATTATTAGCTAAGTGCTCAAAGGGCATAAACTGCGTCGCAATTGTCAAACACATCCATCACAAATTTCAAGTGCAAATTGAATTTGTTCCTTAGCAAATTTACAAAATGTCAAATGGGGCTGCCCATAGCGTATAATGCCCCAAAGGCAACCAAGTGCCATCCACTTGACAGTGAAATCGTCGTCTTCGTAAACAAGTCAATTATTATAAATGGAATTTGTGAAAGCAAATGGGTAAAAATAGCATAGGAAAATCGGGAAAAGTGACCAGTGCAGCCTATATAGCCGCCTCTATATGCATAATATTATCTACCCCTACAATATGAGTGCAGTCTATATCCTATATATGTCAAATATCCATATATATATATACATATATATGATATTATTTACCCCTAAAATATTTCTACATGTTATTTATGCCAATTTCTCTTCCACTTGTCTCTGTCGCTTTGGCAGCCTTTCAAGTTTATTTGTTTTTGTAGTGGATATTTAACATAGACAAGAGGCCTGTCTGCATATCTATGGCTACATATAATCGTGCTTATATAAAATGCAAAAACAACAGTTTCTCAAAACAAATCGTTAGCAAAATATAAATACATATATACAAATACACATACATCTATGATCACATGTTGCCGCTTATGAAAAAAATATGGCTATGGGAAAACAGTCTTAAGAACTTTTACTATATACGAAACTCATTTGTCATTTGGGACATTAGAGAAATGACAATATTTTGAAAAGGCTTTTATTCAATTTGAGGTCGTGAAATTGAAGCCTCACGTGAAAACAGCTTTACTTAAGCGCCTCAAATGCAAACAACTGATAAGAAATAGCTCTGAAATGAAAGTACTTTATATATGTACATACATATACTATATGACTGATATATAAGCATACAATTACTTCTATATCATATATGTGTTTTAGTTAAATGTACCTATAGTCCAATCTAATTGTAATTCTAGTTCATATAACAAGAGCTTACAGTCTTATCTGTCTTCGTCATATAACCAGGCTCAAAGCGTGGGCGAAACAATGGAAGCCTTAGAACTGAACAGAGAACAGAGAATGATTTAACCGAAGTGTACTATAAAAGTAATGCTCTTATAGGGAGTAACTTAACTGCTAACTATATTAGCAATATATTGACAATATTCTTGATTTTCTATGTACATATATAACTCTTTGTAATATATGCTATATAATATATATTTCATCACATATTTATATACATTTACTTTAAAAATAGAGCTATACATTTGCGATATATTTGTTTAATATTTTGTATTATATTTATGTTAATGATTTTATATGAATATTCTTTTTTTTTAATGTCGCAAACTTTTCAAGCTCTCCTCGCTTATAGATACTTATGTCCATATGCTATAGGATAATTTATTAGACAGATATTTCTTCTCTATTCTTTCTTTCACATGAGATAGATTCCATTTCATTTAATTCCATCCTAGCTAATTCTATCCCCTCTCTCTCTTAACCCAATTTTCTTTAATTTCCTAAGTGTTTGTCACTTTAGCTTTTTCCACATATTTCTCATTATGTTTTCGAATCGAACACATGCGCAAGAAACGTCTTGTTCTGCTGAGACACATCCGACTTTTCTCTACATATATATTATTATTTTACTTTATATTTCTTTTTTGGCTAGTTTAGACAATGCCATTAAATGATGTTGACGTCAGTCGAGGCGTGTTCTAGTCCCCTTAAATATGTTTGTTGATTTGTCATTTTGGCACTTGCAAAGGAACCCCACCCAGCCCCTTACCCTGTTCCCCTTCCCCTTGCTTACCTGCTCGATTTCACTGAGCGTATGCTTCATGCGCTCCAATTTCTTGGCTGCTTCCTGTCCACTGGCTGCGTAGCCAGCGCCGCAGCTGCCGGCGCCCACTTTCATGCCCAGCGCAGAGATGGGATCAGTCTTAAGCTCGTGACGCTCCTTGCGCAGCTTGCTCAGTTCGGCGAGTGCATTCTTCATGTATTTGTCATTCAAACGTTCTGCTTGGGATGGCCGATAGCCCAGACGCTGCTCCAGCGAATCCTCCAGCTGCACCAGCTTCTTCTTGAGCGCTGTCACCCGGCGATTGATGGCCTTGACGCGCTCTTCGGGCGTCTGGAAAGCCATCATAGCGGGCACCACCTGCTGCATGACATCGCGTGTGCGCATATTCTCCAGCGAGCTAAACGCACGCACTGCATCCATGGGCTCCAGACAATCCATATCCTCGCCAAGCAGCTGCACGCTGGATGCCTGCTTGGGCAGCTGCTGTGGATAGGGCATCACCTTGGCCAGCTTGGCAGCTGCATCGATATTGCCGCCAGCATGGTGTCTCGAGTGGGCGTAGCGACGGCTCAGCACGGGCGCTGGCTCATCGCCGCGCTCCCAGGGCAGCGACTCCTGGGCAGAGGTCAGATTGAGGGACTGCTGTTGGCGCTGTGGCGGCTTGGCCTTGATGGGCGCTGGATTCGGGGTGGTGTCATCGCTGCCCGCCGAGCTGCAAGAGCTGCTCGTGGTGGGCGTGGGCGAGATGCTGGTGCTGCGTTTGCTCTGAAGCTGCTGCTGTTGCTGTTGCTGTTGCTGCTGCAACTGTTGCTGATGAAAGTCAATTAGATTGTTGTCATTGTGATCAGCAATGGTTGCTGCGGTGCCTTGCTGTTGCTGCTGCTGCTGCTGCTGTTGCTTCTTGCTGCTGATGAAACCGCGACGCTCATACTTCAGCGCCGACAGATCGTATTTGTAGGCGCTCTGCTCGTCCCGCCTTGAGGGCAGATACTTGCCCACTGCGCTGGGCTTCTTGCTGACGCCGGACTTGCGCACCGGCGGCTGACGCGACTTGCAGAAGCGCTCGCTGCTGCGGCGACGCTCGTGCTCGCATTCGCTGTCATCGCTAGCATCGCGCAGCAACTGTTGCTGCTGCTGCTGCTGCTTGCCATTGCCATTGCCATTGCCGTTGGCGTTGCCGTTGCCGTTGCGCACCGGCGAATGGGGCTGAGAGCGCGCCGGACTTGTCTCGAAGCGTGCGCGATCCTTGAGCGCCTCGGCGTTGATAATCAGTGGCACATTGGCCAAAGCCGCATTATTCTCCTGCTGCTCGCTGTTGTCAAGGGGCAAGTCGACGCTGGCGTCGCGCTCGAATTCCTTGCAATAGCTGGCAAAGCTGGCCGTGCGCTTAAACTCCTCGGAGGAGACACGGCGTATGACGTCACATGCGTGGGTGGATGAGCGTTGGTTGTTGA